GTACCCACTCCCACAGTTTGTTAGCTGGGAACAAAATGGTTGGATTTTGTGTGCATGCATGTGAAGGGGAGAGAGGGTGAGTGATGAAAGGGGAGAGGTGGTAGTGATGCTCAGCTGAATACAGATGAGAGAAGGGCAAGCTGAATTCCGATCAGGCTGCTTTCTTCTCCATTTTTCCGCTCTCCCTTGGTTTCCATCCCTCAGAATGAAAACACTTCAGAGAAATGCGTCCAAGGGGCCAAGTTGTTAGGTCAGCCTTTCAAAGTCAAGGTCTGGGGCTTGTTCTCAAGGGAGCCTCTATTGTAGGGTTTCTGTCTTTTAAATGTATAATTAACAAGCGGGTGGATTTTGATGATAGTGATATGGAGCAGAGAGAGAGAATCTGATCGTGAACTGAGAGTCTTGTTTTATGTTTGATGACACTGGAGGTTGAATTTATTAGCATTTTTATTAGTGCTCGCTCACTTGCCAGTTTCTGTGAATTTTTAAAATACTCCAACATGGTTTTAACAAATTTCTGAAATTGAAAGCTCATAAAATCTGTCAGCACAGTAATCACCATCTATTCTCTTAGGCAAGCTAATAAAAACAACAGATTTCCAAATTAACTGTATGTCAAAAACAATATTCAGCTGGGTTTACCTGTAAGTTAAACAGCCTCAGCCTAATCTGTAAAATCTGGCTAGGATGGTAGCTCTGAGATTAATTAATGAAAGAAAACTTGTACTTTTCCACCCTCACTCAAACTACAAATACTTTTTGTTGAGAAGTCATTGGGGTTGTCTCACCAGCTCATTAAAAACATGCAAGGAAGGAAGGAAAAAATTAATGGAGCCAAACACCTTTGATTTAATTCATAGGAGGGTCAAATAACACAAAGTGCCTCACTATAGTAAGTACAGTGCCTTGCGAAAGTATTCGGCCCCCTTGAACTTTGCGACCTTTTGCCACATTTCAGGCTTCAAACATAAAGATATAAAACTGTAATTTTTTGTGAAGAATCAACAACAAGTGGGACACAATCATGAAGTGGAACGAAATTTATTGGATATTTCAAACTTTTTTAACAAATAAAAAAACTGAAAAATTGGGCGTGCAAAATTATTCAGCCCCCTTAAGTTAATACTTGGTAGCGCCACCTTTTGCTGCGATTACAGCTGTAAGTCACTTGGGGTATGTCTCTATCAGTTTTGCACATCGAGAGACTGAAATTTTTGCCCATGCCTCCTTGCAAAACAGCTCGAGCTCAGTGAGGTTGGATGGAGAGCATTTGTGAACAGCAGTTTTCAGTTCTTTCCACAGATTCTCGATTGGATTCAGGTCTGGACTTTGACTTGGCCATTCTAACACCTGGATATGTTTATTTGTGAACCATTCCATTGTAGATTTTGCTTTATGTTTTGGATCATTGTCTTGTTGGAAGACAAATCTCCATCCCAGTCTCAGGTCTTTTGCAGACTCCATCAGGTTTCCTTCCAAAATGGTCCTGTATTTGGCTCCATCCATCTTCCCATCAATTTTAACCATCTTCCCTGTCCCTGCTGAAGAAAAGCAGGCCCAAACCATGATGCTGCCACCACCATGTTTGACAATGGGGATGGTGTGTTCAGGGTGATGAGCTGTGTTGCTTTTACGCCAAACATAACGTTTTGCATTGTTGCCAAAAAGTTCGATTTTGGTTTCATCTGACCAGAGCACCTTCTTCCACATGTTTGGTGCGTCTCCCAGGTGGCTTGTGGCAAACTTTAAACGACACTTTTTATGGATATCTTTAAGAAATGGCTTTCTTCTTGCCACTCTTCCATAAAGGCCAGATTTGTGCAGTATACGACTGATTGTTGTCCTATGGACAGAGTCTCCCACCTCAGCTGTAGATCTCTGCAGTTCATCCAGAGTGATCATGGGCCTCTTGGCTGCATCTCTGATCAGTCTTCTCCTTGTATGAGCTGAAAGTTTAGAGGGACGGCCAGGTCTTGGTAGATTTGCAGTGGTCTGATACTCCTTCCATTTCAATATTATCACTTGCACAGTGCTCCTTGGGATGTTTAAAGCTTGGGAAATCTTTTTGTATCCAAATCCGGCTTTAAACTTCTCCACAACAGTATCTCGGACCTGCCTGGTGTGTTCCTTGTTCTTCATGATGCTCTCTGCGCTTTAAACGGACCTCTGAGACTATCACAGTGCAGGTGCATTTATACGGAGACTTGATTACACACAGGTGGATTCTATTTATCATCATTAGTCATTTAGGTCAACATTGGATCATTCAGAGATCCTCACTGAACTTCTGGAGAGAGTTTGCTGCACTGAAAGTAAAGGGGCTGAATAATTTTGCACGCCCAATTATTCAGTTTTTTATTTGTTAAAAAAGTTTGAAATATCCAATAAATTTCGTTCCACTTCATGATTGTGTCCCACTTGTTGTTGATTCTTCACAAAAAATTACAGTTTTATATCTTTATGTTTGAAGCCTGAAATGTGGCAAAAGGTCGCAAAGTTCAAGGGGGCCAAATACTTTCACAAGGCACTGTATATCCACTTAGTTATATGTAGTTTGACTTTCCTAGCAGTTGTAGAAAGATGAGAATGAAATGTACATACAAGTTTAGAAGTGATACTGTAAAAAAAGCGGTCAAGTATATGGTTACACTACAGACTTGTTAGTTATGTTCTGATATTCTAACCAGTGGTAAAATACTTTTTGTAACAGAGTCGCATCCTCTCAGGTACCAGCAAACTGCTCAGGAGTCAGAAACACCAGAACACCCCATGTACTTTGTCCTTCGATGTGATTATCAACACCATGATTGGTTGTAAACCCTGTTGTCATAGCACTGATGATGATGAAAGCTCCCAGGACACTGATCCTTAGCATGCTTGTACACACACACTGAATCAGTCTGTCTCTCTGCTAACCAGACTCATTCCCCTTTGAGAGAGGAGGCATTAGCCGATGAGATTGGACTTGCGTGCGTGCGTGTGTGTGTGTGTGTGTGTGTTTTGTCTGTCTCCGTACTTGCACTGTAATGTACAGAACAGGAATCTGGGGAAAGGCCTGAGCTCTCCTGAATTGTACTTGACTCTTTATCCTTTCTTTCCTGATTTCTTTTTTCTTCCATACCCCAGCTCACCTCTTACTCTTTTTTTCTCTTTCTCTCACAGCTGTTATTAAACCACTTTGACCGAACTAATAACATCTGTGTCACATACACGGTCTAACTGTGCCTGTCTCCTACACTAGCATTACACTTGTACATGCTGTAAAAGGGTACACTTTGTGAGATACTAATTGGAAATAGAGCCTGCATTTGCTTTTAGATAGCTTTACAGGCTTCCAAATTTTTTTACGTTTTAAGTTGCTCTTAGGCCCCATTTTGATATTAGCATGCAGTCTTTATTTAGATAGGTTATAGACATATAGACTGATCACAGGCCTTTGCACTTGGTATTAGTGCATGTTCTCTACTGTCTTTATCAACACTCAAGGATCAAAGTACAACAAAGCTGTGACTACACTGTAAAATTGAAACAGAGGAGAAATGTGCTACATAAAACTCATTCAAATGTTGCTGTTAGCACACATTGCTCCATGTAATATTTCCTTAAAGTATATTTCACACGTCAATAGCTCCACTACAGTAAACAGTTTTGCATGTTGATGAATATGCTAAACTTTGATGTTAATGCCACTATTTGAATTTTGTCTTAAGACAAAGCATAAGATAAATTGTGGATTTACGCTAGTTATACGAATACGTGGGTTGTCCACCATTAAATGAATGTAAAGATGGTTACACTGTGTCTACATAGAAGGCATAGCGTGAGCAGCATGATAGCAGAGCTGCAGCAGGAGCAGCTCCATGTGTATCTATGCAAGATGTGTTCAGGCACAGCTGTCACATGCATGTTGGAAGCACTCTCAGCCAAATCCACAATCACTGTAGTTAGGAACAGAACAACACAGAAAAATTGGATTGTGGCCTAAAAGTGCACATCATGTGGTTTACAGACACATAGTGTGAGTAAACCTGTGTATACGATGTTTTGGTTAAAATAGGAGAGTTCCTGTCCCGTTGGATGCAAGTGAAACACATGACCAAAGAACACAACTGAAACACTATCTGTGTAGATACAGTGTGGTGGTACAATCAGTGGGAGAAAAATAAACTAACTATAAATCTGAACCTGTGCTGTTGGCCCTTTGTCAAGCATTTATTCAGCCTCAGTCAGAGAATATTGTAATGAAAATATATAGCACATACGTATAGCCACATTTCCTTGAATAATTTTCTGTAATATTGAATTGGTTGAATGGATTTTTCACTGTTGTATTTTAATGAAGAAGGAATGAAAAGGAAAACTGGGTTGCCTGCTTATGCATCAGGAGTGTTGTTACATTGTGTTACATAATCGTTTAAGATAGCATTTTTATGCCCTATTTATTCATTATTATTTTGGCAAAAGTACAACACTGCAACAGCCGAATGGTTACAGCAGTGCACTATGTACATATGCATAGTATGTGCATGATATCAGCAGCTGAAGTCTAGTCGCTGACATTTGTCGCAGGTCTCCCCCTCTCTCTGTCTGCACATTTCCTGTCCACTTCTCCATGACATACTGTCAGCTAAATACCAAACCAAAAATAAATAGCTTAAAGAAAAAGTACAAAGATTCAAACCCAAAAACACCAATGTATGAGTTCAGTACTGACGTAAACCCATGCTGCAGTTAATCAGTTACCTTGCTGGGTTTTGCATAAATACCATCCCGTGTAGTATCATTAAATGCATCTGCTGCCTGCATAATGTTGTTTCAGTGTTATTCCAGCTCCTCCTCTACTCTTTTTTGATTGAACAGTTGCACATTTATCTTTGCCTTTGATTTCTTGCATCAGTAGTTTTCTTTTTGTCTTAAACCCATCTGCTAATTTTATTGCTGAAACTGCCATTTTGTATTTCTTGGTCTCTCCACTAAATATTTTTTCATTCACTTGACAGGGACTAATGATCCTCTTGCAAAACCTTCCCACAATGCACTGGGGCAACGAGGAAGTGAGTGTGCTGCTGGCCGAAGCCTACAGGTTGAAGTTTGCCTTTGCTGACGCGCCCAACCACTACAAGAGATGATAGACGTGGCTCTCTGCAGCTGCTCCCCTTCTCCTCCTGTTCTTCCTCCTCTTCTTCTTCCCTCCTCTCTCCTACAGTCTGCTGACCTTAGAGGCCTCTATTCCTACATGGAAGGACCTCCACTTTTCATAACCTCACTTTTCCACTTTGCCCAGTGGCCCTTTCACCTACTAAAAGATTTAAATCAGCCAATGACTGGAAGGATTGTGGTGTAGCATTCTAACATGTTGATGTGGAGCCTTTGTTTTTTAAATTATTCTTTTCTGATCAGCTCTGAAATATGCACTCCTGCAGTCCACAGCAGAACCCTATTTTTCATTGTTGGAGTTTGGTTCGCTTAAGGTGACGCTGCAAAATACAAATTCAATCCTGATGCAGGACTATGAGCTATTGCTCAGCATCGCCTGAGGTTCAGTCTGGCTCAGAAAAAAAATTTGTTTCTGCTTATTGTTATATCCATTGCCATGGCAATACGTTTTTTTTGTGATCTTTTTTTTCTGGTTTGCAAAGACAACAATAGATGACATAAGGGCACTGTGCTAGATGTTTTACATATCTGAGCTCCCTCTCCTGGTCACAACACAACTTGAAGGAACATGACCTCAAGCTTTTATTCCCTCCTACATCTGACCAAGAGGGACAGAGAGCGTTTTCCTTCATGAACACACTAGGTTTTTACAGAGAGGGATTGCAATTGCAAGGGGAAGTAAGTCTCCTTTCATTCACAAACCTCACACACATCAGTTCAATCCCAACTTAATCCCATCCTCACACTCTAGTATCACAGTGTCTGAGTGTAAGAAAACCACTGGCAAGAGACAGGAGAGCCACACATATGCAGATTTACATCAAACACAAAAAAGCCATGAGGAGGAAGAATGCTAGTTATTACCACTGGTCAGGTTTTCCTCAGACCTGCCTGTATATGAAGGGCATTGTTTTATCTATTAACTACTGCTCCTCCCAGAAGCTGGGGCTACTTGAGAACGTGCATTAACACATAAGTAGCTAGAACTGGAACCCCATTTAATAATATATTCACAGGCAAAAACACATATGATGCTACAGTAAAAAAAAAACTACACAGTATGGAGTCAGAATAAACTATCATCAGTTCAGAAACTGAATTCTCAAAAACATTGTCTTCACAGGGTTTAGAGGTAAAGATCCAAATTTACAACTTTGCCTTAATTAAAATACATACAGTGAATGGTTCCTTTCTTTTTTCTTACCATTCATCTTCTCCTGTTTTTGGGTCATATTTTAATGGGTGTACAAAAATGTGCTTCACTTCAGTATGTTGTCCATTGGTTTTGTGTAGGTGGAAACTGTTTTTGACCTTTTGCTGAGAATAGAATTCAGAGGAATTTGTCTATTTTCAATATGGGCTCACTCATTTGTCATTCTTCTGATTCCAGTAGCAAGCACAAATTAAATGTGCACCTAAAGATTAAGTTCAACTAAAGAGAAACATATACATATTCTCAAGACAGTGGTACCACCTCAAAAATACTATTTTTGTTTTAGTAAAATTTAACTTTGACTTCACTTAGCTCAACATTATAAACATCGTCTCTTCACACAACTTCAGAACAATTCCTAATCCTATCATCGTATTGCCCAATTAAAATCCACAGGTAATCAGGGTGCATCTGTGTGCACCTGCTTTTTTTTTACATTTCAGATAGCATTTTAAGCACATATCCTTGGGGGTAAATAAACACATGATGGAATAATGTTGAATCATGACTTCAAATATTTTGAATACATTAGATTTTGGTGGGATATATCCATTTTTAATCTTTTCCAAATCTTGGAAAAGATGGTTTCTTGAATGTGACAGAAACAAGTAAGGCTTAACGAAAATCATTTATTCAGCACACTTTTTACTGTATACCTTTGCATTTAAATGCAGATAAATGAACAAAAACAGCCAATGCATTTTTAGTTTTTCTTACTTTGCACAACCCCTGCTTGACATTGGTCATTGCAGTTGCAACATTACTACATAACCTTTGTCTTTTTCTCATCTTTGCTGTGTACGTATGTTGTCCTCTTCATATAGAACACACGACATGTCTTACCCAAAGTCAGTAAGCACCATATTGGTGTAATGTTGGGAGGATGTGGTGGTGTGGTAATCAGACATTCATGACATAAGATAAAGCTGTGCTATGTGTCCTGTCGTGACACCGCCAGGATCCCTTGTTGTCACCCTAGCCCGGCAAAGACAGTGTGTGAAGGGGAAGTGGGAGGAGAGGGGGACCAGGGAGTCCTGTTTCTTTGGAAGTTTCAGCATGTTTTCTGTAAGAGCTGTCAGTCTTTGATCACATGTTGGGATTTTCTTTATTCTTTCTTATTTTTTTTACACAATTTACGCTAGCTTCATAAGCCCCTCATTTCCCATGCTCTCAGATAAGAAAGAACTGCACTTAATTTCTTTTTTGTATGCGATGTATTCTTTCAGTCACCAGTTTAAAGATTTATTTTTTAGGCGGGGGTATTTTTTATGCTGTTTATGTGACAAGTCTATTAAGTTGTACCTGACTCTGGGGACACGAGACAACGTTTTAGTTATGTTTTGACCTCACATTACCTTGAAAAATGTCTGCAAGCAATATTATGATATTTTGAATTTGCAGTGAAAAGACTTCTTTCGTGCATATCTTGTTGTTAGGCTGTGTATTCCACTAACATGAACTGTTAAATAATACGCTGAGTATTTATGCCATATTAAACATTCAAACTTGGCCACTGACCATTTGTTAAACCCATCTGCTGGAAAGCAATTGCCCAGTTGTAGCTTTTTGAACATTAACTACACACAGCAAGCCTGTGAGGCTTTGAATTTTTCCACATGCTGAAGCAGCCTGCATGGGGCTAAGAGTAATTCCATTTAGAATCAGAGCTGGGAATGAAGTCACACCTGAGTTACAATAACTGGGTTCCAGTTTTAGTTAACCATTATACCAGTTCGAGCCAGGTTAGCCATTGTTACCAGTTTACAGCAACACATTATGTGGTATTTTGCACATACAAAGACTATAGTGACATGGTCACAAAAGTTGGACAGTACTGTGTGTGTGACTTTTAATAAGACAAGTGCTAATAAAGAGTTTATTACCACAGCTTTTTCACTGCTGGTGCACGGAGCAGCCATCTTGGATTTTGAGGTCAAGGTTAATGAGCTCTCTCCAACTTTGTGAGTCTGGAGTCTGTGTTCCTGTTGAAATTTGCAACTGTGAACTGAGAAATTCTGACATCCTAGTTCAAATGGAACACATTTAAAAAATGTGGGGGCCATGTCTGTTTTGTCCAAAACCAAGGAACAATTAAAAACTTGCTTGTCTGCGTTTGTTTGAAATGAAGGACCTAGTGTTTCAAGATATACTAAGAGTTTTAATTGATAAATCGCCCTACTTGTGCTGTGCAAGAAGAGAAAGCTTGTTTTACAGTCACAGCAACAGTATCTCAGGGTGCTGGCCCTAGTTAATGGTCAATTGTTTTCACGTTTATTATCCAAAGCCCATTATTTTTAAGAAGTCATGTTGCCTTATTATATACACATTAATATTAAAAACTGTGGAGGAAGAAGTGATGCCAGTGGTGACCAGGGTTGGCAGTTACTGAACTCTCCGTGACTGCGTGTGAGTCATGGGCAATCAGGCTAGCCCCTTTACCCTATCTTCTTTTCAGTTCATTACAGGGGTTTCATTCTAGTAATGTCGTATGCACTAATTTCCCTTTAACAAGAATTAGCTGCTGACTCAGACTTTTCATGAAACAAGATGGTTTAGAAAACAAATGCAAACATATAAACACCAATTTATTACCAAGCCAGCCTGTCTCAGCACACACACACACATCTCTATGGTGATGAATGCAGCTGCAATCCTCTTCTATTAGCCTCCACACACACACACAGAGGTAAACTTTGAACATCCATTGGATCATCTTTAGGAGGGTATCCTTAAGTAACCTTTTCAGCTGCTTTCTTTTCTTTTTGAGCACTAGTGTGTTAGAGAACTGAAGTGGAAGAAACACCTGCCCTATGTCTTTTGCCTTTTGGTTTCTCAGAAAAATCGAATAATAATGGAGTGTGTGGGTAACAGCAGTAGTGGTTCTTGAATTTAGAACTGTGTACAGAGAAGATTTTGAAACAAAAATCTGTAAATAGAAAGTGTAAATAAATCCTATATATGACAAAATTGCTTTGAAACTGTGTCATGTTATGTATTTGTGCACACTTTTGAGTACATTTGTGTGGGTGGATATGAGAGAATGGAGGAAGCAGCAGAAGGAATTTCACTGCATCTCTAGATATTCCATGTCCAATTGGAGTCAATTAAAATCAAGATATGATATATTTCGGCACACCATGTCCCCAGCATCTATCTAAACAGCCTAGAAATTTTGCAGCAACATGTCTGCAGTGTAGTAATTTCTCCCCCAGTGAGACTAGAATGACATTTTTTTCTATAATGAAAATGTAGAAATAATGCAGATGCTTTAGATCAAATCCCAAATCATGACTGCTGTAGGTTGCATATGTGTAATGAATATAATTAGTGTACTAGTGTGTTTACGCATGTATTTGCCATTGTGTCAAGCTGTCCACAACTAACAGCTGTGCTAGTATGCAGCCTGTAGCTAATTGTATTGGTAGTATTCAGACACCATTGCCATACGCACAGTCTAACAGGTAATCCCTTCTGGTCTGATCCCTCCGGAGAGAAATGGCAGCACCAGCTTGGTTAATGAGACTTTCTTTGTCAGTGTGTATGTGTGTGTTTCAGAGGATGGGAAGGAAATGAGAAGACAGAAAACACACACACAAACAACAAGGCTACATTCACTTGCAAATGTGAATGCATACCTGGGTGTGTGTGTGTGCATGCAACAGTAGGAGCTCCCTCGTTCTCATTAGGCTGACTGATGTTCACACAGGCAGCCAATTATGGAGTGCCGGTCACTGAGGACTCATCACTTCATGGGAAATTAAAAATACATTAAAACCAACAATGGTCGCAGGAAAGCACCCACTTGTGCACGTGCACACACACACACACACATTAGGATTATAAGAGAATGGAAGATGGAAAAAGTGCCAACAAAGAACCAGCTGGAGCTCACTCTGAAGCTACAGAGATATAGTGCAAATATTAGCACTGTCAAGTTTTAGTTTTCCTTCCCTCATGGCCATTTCCTTCTCAACATACTGTAGCTGTTTACTATTTATTTATACAGTATGTCACTATTATAGTACCAGCCTATGCTGTTTACCTCCCACTGCCCTCCTAACTTCCTTAATTTACAGGCCTATAAACCTGTGTTTACCAGCTTGAGTCCTTTTCATCAAGGGCTCACACTGGCAAATGTTGGAGCATTGTGGGATCACTAAGCCAGAAATGTTGAGGCAGACTTCACAGGATTTTCATGGAATTTTAAGCCCTGTCTGAAATCAATTTTCTGATTAAATTTTTTGAGGAGCGGCACAGTACAATAGCAGCGTTGCTGTCACAATGAAGGATGACCCGCAGAGTGGGGATGTCTCTGGAGAGCATTTAAGATGCACTGTGGAAGCACCAGCAACTGTGATGTAAATCAGTTTCAATTTAAACTTTCTAAGATCCAAATGTGTCAGCCAGTGAATGGCAAATTATTTTTGACTTCTTAAGAGTGGCAAGTTTAATGTTAAATGTGACAATATGTACATCTCAGTCTGTTTTTAATCTGTCATCTACAGAATTACATCCAACCTCTAGTGTATATACAAATGGACCCTGTCAGTCTACAAAGATAACACAAGATAATCAGTACAGCAATAGAAAAAAACATAACATATGAAATAAGACCATATTAAAAAAAAACCGAACCGCTAATGAAATGAAATAAACAGACCTGTCACACCCCCCTCACACACACAGGAACATCAATAAATAAATATGTAGAAATGCTTTTTTTGATACTCAACATCTTTTGATACTTGATGGTATTGAAGTAACCTGATTGATGCCACTGATGTTCGTTACAGCTGCGTTCAACTATTGAGCATGGCTGAGAGAAGTCCCAGATAGCTTTGCCTCTTTCTGTATCCCTTTCTATGTTTAGTATAGGATAAGATTTCCAGAAGCCTTTGCTTTTTATTTCTGCCTTTCCTTAGAGGAAGGTGTCCTTTTTTTGTCATCAACAACTCTAAATATAAATTGCATGTCGGAGCAGGTCCTTGATTCTCTTCTTTTTGTGGATGGCAGCAGCTGAGACATGGCTCTGCATCACTTTCAGATGGAAACTTCTGATCTAGTGACATTGTGGATAAGTCATTTCTAACACTAGTTTACAGATTGATATACAATGGCAAGATGCCGATTTTCTTCCTCCTGAAGTCGACAATGACCTCCTTAGTCTTTGAGTTATTATGGAGCAGATGGTTTTCTCTGCACCACACTATCAGCCTCTCCACCTCATCTCTGTAGGCAGTCTCATCCCCCCTCAGAGATAAGCCCCACCACTGTGGTGTCATCAGCAAATTTTACACTGGTGTTGCTGTGGTGGGCGGGGGTGCCGTCGTGGGTGTACAGGGTGTAGAACAGGGGGCTCAGCAAACAGCCTTGTAGTGAGCCAGTGCTGAGGCTGAGGGCAGTGTGTGGGCCCACTCTCGCCCTCTGGCTGTGTCCGGACAGGAAGCTTTTAATCCATATGCAGGTGGGATATAGAATTCCCAGGTCTACCAGTTTGTGGGAGAGGATGGTGTTGAATGTGGAGCTATAATCCACAAAAAGCAGCTGTGCATAGCCCTCCTGATGCTCCAAGTGGGACAGCACAGCATGGAGGGCTGTGGCTACGGCGTCCTCTGTGGTTCTGTTTGCCCTGTATGCAAACTGGTGTGGGTCCAATGTTGGTGGGAGGAATGACATAAGGTGTCCCCGTACCAATTTTTCAAAACACTTCATCACCACTGGAGTGAGTGCAACTGGCCGGTAGTCATTGAGGCTGGTTATGTTGGGTTTCATAGGCAGAGGAACTAGGATGGAGGACTTCAGGCAGGGTGGGGTGCCTCAACTCATGCTCCTTTACTGTGAGAGTGGGGCCGCTGTGGGCCGCAGGGTGCAGTTTGGTTGTGTCTGTTTGCTGCCCCTCAAAGCAGGCAAAAAAAAAGTTCAGCTCCTCTAGCCCGCAGTGCGTGCCTCACCTCATGCTCCTTTACTGTGAGAGTGGGGCCGCTGTGGGCCGCAGGGTGCAGTTTGGTTGTGTCTGTTTGCTGCCCCTCAAAGCAGGCAAAAAAAAAGTTCAGCTCCTCTGCCAGCGAGGTGTCCCCTTTAGCTGCACTGAGATTATTCCTGTGGTTTGTAAGATGCTAGACTCCCTGCCACATCTGCCTGCTATTGTTGCTGTCCAGGTGGTCTTTGATCCTCCTCCTGTAGTCCAATTTGGCCTTTCTGATGCCTCTCTTCAGGTTAGCTCGGGCCACGCTGTAGAGAGCCCTATCACCTGTCCTGAAGACAGTGTTCCTCTCTCTCAGTAACCGCTTGACCTCCCAGTTCATCCAGGGATACTAGTCAGGGTAGATCCTGATGTGTTTGTCCACTGTAACAGTGTCTATGCAGTTCTTAATATAATACAGGACACTGTCTGTTAACACCTCCAGGTCTGGATGTTCAAAAACGTCCCAGATGGTCCTGTCAAAACAGCCCTATAGCTGCTGTGATGCACCATCAGGACATGTTTTTACAGTCCTTGTGATGGTAGGAGCAGTTTTCCTGAGGGGGGCATATGCAGGAATTCGAAACAGAGACAAGTGGTCAGACTGGCCCAGGTGTGGTAGTGGTCTGGCCCTATAGCCTAGCTTGATATTTGAAAAAACCTTGTCCAGTGTATTAGCTCCTCTGGTTCTAGGCTTCATTGACAAATCAGGTGGTGCTAATATTTCTGACTGTATGTGCGTGTTGTCTTGGATGTGACTGTCCTAACAACAGCAGTCTTCTTTTTATTGTAACATTTTGATTTGTTGTACAACACCTGCACACTGACCAAAACATGGCAGACAAAGCTAATCTTAGCTAAAAGAGTATCATGGTCATGCAGGTGATTTTGGTTTGCATAACATGCTGTTAAAGAATGGCTCTAGCTGGTGAGTTTTACTTGCTGGTAAAATGTCATCATTTGGAATTCATACCGTGATGTTAACAGAACTTTGAAAGATCTTGAAAAAGCTTTAAAAGTACCTAGAACTGAGTAGAAAATGTCTTTGAATTCAAAGAAATGTAACTTCCATTCTGCTACAAGTGCACATCCTTACATAGTGAAAAATAAGATTGGATTTACATTTTAATACTTTAATATTTTATTTGAGTCCATAGATAATATAGTCAGTGTGGCTTACCATTGCAATAAATCAACCACTGACACTTAGCAAGTGAAAAAGTTCCATACCCTGCTCCTACGATGTGGAACAGTGTGCTCTTCAGTGATTACATTCAAAGGCTATTTACAGAATGCACTTCATTTGAACTCCTGAAACAAAGACCAGATCTGTCCTTTAATTTCTGCAGTCATGTTTTTAAATCTCTGATGTCTTGAATTAAGAATTTTGTGCAGACAGTTATGCAAGTTAACAGTCATGATTTTGACATGCCATTTATTTTAACTTAATTAGGTGGGAGCCTCTCTAGGATTTACACAGGTAGTGAATATTTATAATTGACTTCACACAATTAGAGCATGATCTGAAACTCGGGAGATTTTCAAGGGATATATTCACCTCACACAACACTGATCTCCCTAAATTAACAGTGACTGCT